AAAGGGGAAAACTGAAGTACTGGATTCTAAGTTTTCATCAGAAGGAAATTTCACACTAACTCTCCAATAACAGATGATATTTATTAAATATCCACATGTATCTGGTATTGTTCAAACTGTTACAGTTAGTTCATTTTAGCTTTCATTAAAATATTGCAACCAAAAGCATGCTTGCTGTTACAGTAGACTACACAACTTGAGTTCAGATTTGTTCATTTGGTAAAGCACAGCTTATTTGCATACGATAAATACATTGGCAAAGTTCAGTCTTTGATGAGAACAGGATAGATTGTGCGGATCTTCCTCCCACTAAAAACAACATGGGGCTTTTTTAGTATTTGAAAAATAGTTGGGGAACTGCCAAGTTAAACTTGGGGTAAGGGGAGCCCAACCCAGAGAGGTAAATGGATTTCAGAGCACTAAAACCAGTTGTTTCCTAAGACATTTGCCAGAACACAAAGGGGATTTGGTTCATTAACTCAAAGAGCAAGGCAAACAGAAGTTAAGGCTCAGAGCATGTGAAAGTTATGAAATCTTAGAGACCTTGCTCTACACTGAGTAGGGACCCCAGAGGACTTCCCCACTACAACCAAATTGGCTTCCCTTCCTCCAGACTCCAGAGGACTGTAGAAATAGCTACTTTGGCAGTGGGCAGAGTAGAAAGTGGGAAGGAAAAGGGGTAAAAAAACACATCTCTGAGAAGTTGTGGCCACTGACCAGCCCTCTTGCAGATTTAGATCCTGATATATTATGTGCACAAGTGAGCCAGGGAATTTCAGTGAATTTGGTGTAGGTAGTGGCCTCCAGGAACCTTGCAGAAGCAAACGTAAAGCTTCTCTGGAAGAGGGCATATCCATCCTAAGCTAAGCAAATCATGTCTCTACAAACCATTTTTAAGGGCAGTAACCACTGTGAAAAACAACTGAGGCCCACAAGGAAACAGCAGAGAGAGAACCAACAGGAAAACAAAAACAGGTAGCAGAAATAAATTGGTGCATAGTTTTCACACACAGATACAAAATGCATATGCTTACCGAGTTTAATGAAATAAACCTGAACAAGAATTACAGACAATAGTATACTGTGAAAAGTTGTAGCAGGTTTGGCAGGGGGGTTGGGGGGATAGGTAGGTCTTCTAGAAAAGAAAAAAGTAACCAAAAATAAAGAACTGTTAGCATTTTGACAGCAGATTGGATTTTGCAGGAGAGAGAATGGGTGAATCAGAAGATAAAAGAAGTCACCTGTGGGATGCCTGGGTGACTCATTTGGTTAAGTGTCTCGTTTCAGCTCAGGTAATGATCCCCGTGATCAAGTCCTACATCAGGCTCCTTGCTCAGTAGAGAGCCTCCCTCTCCCTCTGCCTGCTGCTCCCCCTGCTTGTGCGTGCGCATGTTCTTTCTCTCTCTCTCTCTCTCTGACAAATAAATAAATCTTTAAAAGAAAGGAAGACATCACCTGAATGCTGCCTAGAAAGAGACTGTATTGTATTAGGGTATCTCCAGAACATGGGACATATATATAGGTATGTATATAGGAGATTTCTTAGGATGGATTCACTCACGTGATTATGGAGGATAAGTCCCACAGTCTACCATCTACCAGCTGGAGGCCCTGGAAAGCCCATGATGTCATTCCAGTACAAATCCAAAGGTCTGAGAACTGGAGGGCTGATGGTATAAGTCTCAAGTCCAGAGGCCCAAGAACTGGTAGTTCTGGTGTCCAAGAACAGAAGATGGATATCCCAGCTCAAGCAAAGACAGAGCAAATTTGCCCTTCTACCTTTTCTATTCTGGCCTCAACAGATTGGATGAAACACCCACACACACTCGCCATCAACCCCATTGGTGAGGACAGTTTCCTTTACTCAGTCTGCTGATTCAAATGCTCATATTTTCCAGAAATGTTCTTACAGACACACCCAGCAATAATGTTTTACCAGGTGTCCTAGCATCCTTAGCCCAGTCAAGTTGATGCACAAAATTAACCATCACATGGACAATGGCAGAAACTACTACGGAGAAGAGAATAAAGGTTATGGACAATACAAATGTAGGTTTGATGAAGCCCTAAGAAGAGAAGAGAAAATGGCTGAGAATTTTCTAGAATTGATGAAAAACACCAATCCATAGATTAGAGGCCAGCAAATCCCAAATAGAAATAATAAAAATACAAACCTAGGCACATTATAGAGAAAATTCAGAAAATAAGACCAAATAAGACATTACCTTCAGAAGAATGACTTCTGAAACCAGTGGAATAATATCCTCAATGTGCTAAAAGAAAATTATAACTGTCAATTTTCATACACAGTGAAAATACCTCTCAAGAATGAAGGTGAAATAAAGATATTTTCAAAGAAATAAAAAATAAGTTTATCATCACAAATCCTCACTAAAGAAAATTTTTAACAATGGACTCCAGGCAAAAGCAAAGTGAGCACTGATGGAAAGTCTAATATACAAGAAGGAATGAAGAGCAAAGGAAAGGTAAAATAGATGGACAAATATTGGTAAACATTGCTTGCATAAAAGTAATATTTTGTGGGACTTTGTCAAAACGAAGTAAAATACCACAATAATTCATAAGTTGCAGAATGAAAGTGTGTAGAAAAATGGAGTTAAACTGTTCTAAGATCCTTAATGTTCAAAAGTTTTAATTTCAGAATTTGGTAATTATGTGTCTGATTTCCAAAGTAACCAGTAAAAATAGGGAAAGATTATATAATTTCCAAACTGAAAGAAGAGAGGAAATAGAATGATAATTATCATTTATGTTTAACACACTCATTTTAAAATGTATAAAGAAATTCAAAGGGCCAAGAATAGCCAAGTAGTTCAGGAAGCAAATGAACAAGGTGAGAAGACTTACTGCCCTATCTGATCAAAAAGCTCTGGGAACTGAAGATTGGCATTGATGTAAGTTCAGACAAGCAGATGGGACTAATGGAACCTGGAAACAGACCCATACACTTAGAGGCCTGCAGAACAGAGAAGAAAAGACAGACATTTCAGGAAATGTGTTTGATTATAAAATCAGCTCCAGGTGCATTAAAGACCTAAATGTCAAGGGCAAATGTTTCATAAGATTACCTGACATGGGGAAGGATTTTTATTTTTTTAAGATTTTATTTTTTTTTTATTTTTAAGATTTATTTATTTGAGAGAGAGAGATCACAAGTAGGCAGAGAGGCAGGCAGAGAGAGAGGGGGAAGCAGGCTCCCTGCTGAGCAGAGAGCCTGATGCGGGGCTCGATCCCAAGACCCTGAGATCATGACCTGAGCCGAAGGCAGAGGCTTAACCCACTGAGCCACCCAGGCGCCCCAAGATTTTATTTTTAAGTAATCTCAACACTCAACATGGGGCTTGAGTTCACAACCCTGAGATCAAGAGTCATATGCTCCACCGAATGAGCCAGCCAGGCACCCAAGGATTTTTAAAAAAAAGACACAGCCATGAAGGAAAATACTTATAAATTCAGTTAAATTAAAATTTAAATTTTTGGTCGTCCAAAGATAAGCCATAGAAGTGAGAAAAATATTTATAACATGTATCACTGAAATATGAAAAAACTCATAATAAAAAGCAGACGACTCAAAACAAGCCTCGAACAGGCATTTCACAAAATGGGGGGTTCAGTAAATAAATGTGCTCAGCCTCACTGGCAATAGGGAAATAAAATCAAGCCACAGTGAAATATTGCTACATACCCACCAGATCGGCAGAATTTTCAAAATCTGACAATACCAAGTTTTCCTAAGGAACTCTTTTACATTGCAAGTAGTGATATAAATTTAGTATGATCACTTTGGAAGAGTTTAGCATTTTCTAATAAAGATAAACATATCCAATGACCCAGCAATTTTTTTTTTAAGATTTTTAAATTTATTTATTTGAGAGAAACAGCACAAGTGGGAGGAGAGGGAGAAGCAGGCTGCCTGCTGAGCAGGGAGCCCAATATGAGGCTTGATCCCAGGACCCTGAGATCATGACCTGAGCTGAAGGCAGAGGCTTTAACCCACTGAGCCACCCAGTGCCCCAAACCAGCGATTTCATTCCTAAGTATAGGTACCCTATAAAAAATGCACATGTTACACGTATAAGAATATTCACAGCAGCATTGTTCATGGTAGCCTGAAACTGTACATTAAGAGTGAAATGGCTAGATTATGACTATTACAGTGTAAACTTTCACCTGTAATAGCATGGATCGGTCCACAGTATCGAAGGAAAGAAGACTTAAGAGTGCATTCAGTGTAATTCAATTTATATAAAGTTTGTAAGCAGTAATACTAAACTATACTGTTGTTGGTGAGGGCGGCCAATTTTCTGTAAAGGGCATGATAGTATTTTAGACTTAGCTGCCATGTGGTCTCTGTCGCAACTGCAATGACTCTGCTGTGCCACTGGTGTAAAAGCAGCCCTAGATGGTTCATGGCTGTGTCCCAACAAGAGCCAACCCATAGTTTATAAGTACACATGTTGGAAATAAAATTACTTTTAAAAGGAAGAGGGGCAAGGAAAAAGGGAAGGAAATGATGACCATGAAAGATAGAAAAGTGGTTACTACTTGGAAGGGGGGGTTGGTGATCCAGGCAGGGTAAATGGGGACTTACAGAATACTGGCAGGATTTTAGTGAGACTCATGAAGGTTGCACAGATACATACTCACTTTATAGCTGTCTCTTGAATTCTATGTAGAAGTTCAATGTGTATGTCACAATAAAGTCTTCAAAAGTAAAAATAGTGCTTCCTTACATGATATAATTTTATGCGAATTTTTGTTTAGTTTATATTTGAATTTGCTTATTTCTGAAATTTATTATTTGTTCCTAAAAGAATTTAAGTTAGTAATATAAGGCTGTTGTCTTACATACGATTTCTATTAAAGATTTCTTTATGTTGTGTGTTTTAGGGGCTTGGTGATATGGATTGCAGTTAATATCTTGGCTCATTTATACCACAGTATTGACAGCTATCATCTTTTTGTCCTTCTGTTCACAGGCTCAGTAGATGAAGGTGTCACTGAAGGGTTGCCTACACTTCAAAGCACTTCTAGCACTAATGCTCATGCAGATGATGATGATCGGTTAGTACTGACATAGTATGTTGTTTTCTTATAAAGGGGTGTGTTTGCAACTGTAAATCCAAACATTTTAACTATATAATTTTAATTATATAAGAAGTTTATTGGTACCTCATTTTATTTTTCAGAGTAAAGAGGTCATTACATCATGAATTAGACCACCTATACAGAGTTTTTTGGCATTTAAAACAGCCCAGGCCCATTACTTTTAAATAGTATCTGTATCAGGGATTGGTGAACTGTGAACCACAGGCCAATTCCAGTTCACCACCTTAATTTGTAAATCAAGTGTTCGAATAAAGCCACGCTCATTTGTTCATGTATTGTCTGTGAATGCTCAGGTAGAGTGGTTGAAACAGAGATCAAAGCCAAAAATATTTATTGTTTAACTTACTACAGAGAACGATTGCCAAATGCTCCTCCACATACCCATAATTCACAAGTCATTATCTTCAAACTGTCCCTCCCTTCTTCATATTTTCACATAAATGTATAAGGGGCTTTCTGACTTAACATGGCCAAGACCCCTAACTCCCCACCTAAATCCCGGTCATCCAGTCTTACCTATCTCCAAACAGCATTGTCATTAGTTAAATGTAGAAAAGCACAGCATTGAGAAATATTAGGAACTATTTGGTATATGGTGTATTTGGGGAATATGAGAAAAAATGAGGCTGGAAGAGTACACAGAACCCAGGTCATAGGGAGTCTCCTATGCCTCACAAAGGGTTTAGACTTTGAAGGTAACAGTGAGCCATTGCAGGATTTTAAAGAGGGGCTGATTTAATCAGATCACTGTGAAGCAAGCAGAAGGATAGATGGGGGTGCGGGGGTGGGGGGCATAAAGAGAGGGAGTGTATTGATGAAGACCTAAATTAAAGCAATATTAGGAAGGAAAGGATTAGAGAGATTAACGGTACCTGAGGTAAAATCATTTATATGTTACTTAAGATGCCGGACATTCTGGACAATAACATTGTTTTTCATATTGTTATAAATGAAACTTTTAATGTAACAGTTAAACTCTCAAAAAGTCATTTTTTTTCTGTTCATTTTTAAGTTGTACAGAAATGTTTATTCAACTTAAAAATCAGAATCTGGTTGCCTTCTTTGGTCTGTTTTTTTAGATTGGAAAATGTTCAGTATCCCTACCAACTCTACATTGCTCCTTCTACCAGCAGTACAGAACGACCAAGTCCAAATGGTCCAGATAGACCATTTCAGTGTCCAACTTGTGGGGTACGATTCACCCGTATTCAGAACTTAAAACAGCACATGCTCATCCACTCAGGTAATGTCACCTTCCCTATTGTTGCATAAATGAGTACTTGAAACATATTTAGAAATCCCAGTTAAAAATAGAAAACAGGTGTTTTTGAGTTTAAAAAATATGTCTCTAAGACATTGGGGAGGTATGTGCCATGGTGAGTGCTTTGAATTATGTAAGACTGATGAATCATAGACCTGTATCCCTGAAACAAATACTACATTCTATGTTTTTGTTTTGTTTTGTTTTGTTTTTTAAAGATTTTTATTTATTTATTTGATAGAGATCACAAGTAGGCAGAGAGGCAGGTAGCGAGAGAGGAGGAAGCAGGCTCCCCGCTGAGCAGAGAGCCCAATGTGGGGCTCGATCCTAGGACCCTGAGATCATGACCTGAGCCGAAGGCAGAGGCTTTAACCCACTGAGCCACCCAGGTGCCCCTACATTCTATGTTAATAAAAAATATATATATGTCTCTGAGAAGTCAGATAAGCCTTATTCTGTTGCTTAAATGGTACAGTATCAGAAAGCTATTTGCTTAGCACATTTGCCATAGGCATAAGTATTTAGATTAAAACTTGAAGGGCTATGTGTGTATAATACATAAATAAAAGGGATATATTAGTTGTGTGTATATGTACAATAGAGAAGCACAAATACAGATGGTAGAGCAAATGAAATTAAAAGGGTATTTAGTGGGGCACCTGGGTGGCTCAGTGGTAACGTTAAGCCTCTGCCTTTGGCTCAGGTCATAATCTCAGAGTCTTGCGATCGAGCCCCGGAACGGGCTCTCTGCTCAGCAGGGAGCCTGCTTCCTCTCTCTGCCTCTGTCTCTGGTTACTTGTGATCTCTTTCTCTGTGTCAAATAAATAAATAAAATCTTTTTTTTTTTTAAAGGTATTTATTGATGTTCTTTGTACTATTCTTGTAACTTCTCTTTAAGGGTTGGAATTATTTCCAAATAAGTATTTTTTTTAATCTAATAACAATAACTTAATTTCAGTTCTGCATTCCTAAATTTCTCTGTACCCTGATTAATCAGCTTTGTATTATTTATTAGTACAAAAGATTTTTAATAAATGATGCATAAAACAGATTTGAAATTTAGTTCAGTGATCACATAAAGGCAACAAAATTCTCGTGGGTAAAACACTGACCTCTGATAGAGTAAGAAATCTTTGCTACTGTGTTTTCATCTGTATTTTTATCTTACTTTCCTGTTCCCTGGCGAGGTCTAATAGTCCTTGAGCTAACATCAATTCCCTATGACTTTATTAAATCAACAGATTGTATTTTGAAGGTTTTTAAAATTTTTGCCAAAACTGTGTTAATCAGAAGAGACAATTAATATACTTTATAATTCACATATTAGTTTCTATATCTTTTTCTGTCAGTTTACATTAAAGGCCCAGAAACCCAATTTGCCAAGTGATAGTTCTACCATCATTATTAATTATGTTCAGAGATGTTAGAATTTTCCTTTTTTCTTCTCATTTCTCTCCCAGGTAGGGAATGAAAAGTAGGTCCTTTTTCCGTCTTTTCAGTATAAACTATACTACTTTAATGAAATTGAAATAACAATGTTTTATGGAGATTTTAATTCTGTTTAAATACTGTGATTAAATCATCTATAAAATAGATGATTTAGAAGAATATTCAAAAATCAAGTTCAGTATAAACAAGTTTACCTCTCCCTCTAATGCATTTCTCTTTCTTTCTTTCTTTCTTTCTTTCCTTCCTTCCTCCCTTCCTTCCAAGCACTATGACTTTTCAGATGTTCTTTACCTTTTCTGAGATGTTGAATTGGAATCCATTTTTGCTGATTTTTGTCTTTTTAAATTACCTATTGCTACAAAATTATAATTCAGAAATTTGTGAGGTTTGTGACCTTTCATTTTATTTTGTTTCTAGATAATATTTTGTTCTGCTTGATTTTGTAGGAATTAAACCATTTCAGTGTGACCGCTGTGGGAAAAAGTTCACCAGGGCTTACTCGCTAAAGATGCATCGCCTAAAGCATGAAGGTAAACGCTGTTTCCGGTGCCAGATATGTAGTGCCACTTTCACTTCCTTCGGGGAATATAAACACCACATGAGGGTTTCCCGGCACATTATCCGCAAGCCTCGGATTTACGAGTGCAAAACATGTGGCGCCATGTTCACCAACTCTGGAAATTTAATCGTGCACCTGAGGAGTCTGAACCATGAAGCGTCAGAGCTAGCAAACTACTTCCAGAGCAGGTGAGGTGCACAACAAAAACGAACCAGGAAAACTGCTGACTAAACTCTCTTTTCCTGCTTTTAGGGCAGCCTGCTGTGTTTTTTATCAGGTTGCCAGCTAATCAGTCACATTCCTTTAAATTCCCACTGTCCATACTCTGATCTCATGATCTGATAAAATTTTGCTGAATCTTCTAAGTTTATACAATTATAAATATTTTTCTAGTTGGTATTGGAAAGTTTTCCCTACAGAAGTAGACTGCTTACCTACCTCTTGCTTTGTCTTTTTGTTTTGTTTTTTGTGTTTTTGTTTTTTCAATAACAAAGGGTTAAAGTAATATGGACCTTACTGGAAAATTTACCATGTCAGATGATCTTAGTGATACTGAATTACTTCAGACTCTTTGGATGTCGTAAAATTTTTGACCACTTCTCATTTTTTAAAATTCTATATAAAGGAACATATATTTACCAATAAAGAAAGAAACTTCAATAGCAACTATGATGGATATGAGTCTTTAGATCAAATTTTCTTTTTCAATTTAGAGCTCCATGCTTTTAATATTAATAATTTATTGTAATAGAATTCCTTTCTGATTTATAGAGTATCCAAGGAAATCAGGTTCTAGTTCTGGCTCTACCACTAACTGCTGTTATGATTGAACGTGTCACTTTACAAATGAAGAAGCTTGAAACATAGAGAAAGATAAAATGTAAGCTTTAAAGATGATTTCTAAGGTCTCTAGATATAAAATTCTGTCCTTTTTTTAATATTTTATCATAAATACACATCTGTAGGAATCCTTTGTTTTTTATCAAATGAAATCTTCCTAAACCTTTACATTTTAAATCTTTATTTTTGGGGGCACCTGGGTGGCTCAGTGGGTTAAGCCTCTGCCTTCGGCTCAGGTCATGATCCCAGGGTCCTGGGATCGAGCCCCGCATCAGGCTCTCTGCTCAGCAGGGAGCCTGCTTCCCCTCCTCTCTCTCTATGCCTGCCTCTCGGCCTACTTGTGATCTCTTTCTCTGTCAAATAAATAAATAAAATCTTTAAAAATAAATAAATAAATAAATAAATAAATAAATAAATAAATCTTTATTTTTTAAATCTTGTTTTTCAATAAATTCTAAATTATTGCTACATAAATTCTGTTTTTCTCACCAAACCCGACGTTCATGTTATTTAATCATGTCTGAATGTCTGGTTGTCCTATCACTAAACCTAAATTCTACATGTCATATCAAACATTGTTTGTTCAGAACTAAAATAGTGTCTCAGTTAACCACTCCTATTGCCTGTATCTTCCCTATACAGAGCCCTCTACTGTCCATTCCTCTATCTAACACCTGAAGACTTTAGAAAATACAACATAGGACATTTTAAATTGTTTTGCAGATGAACAGATTTTAATTTTTTATTAATACTGGACAATCAAATTATAAAATAACCTTAAATGTATTAGTTATTGACATTCCTAGTAGAATGAACTTTTTTTTAGCTTAACAAAGATTTAATTAAAGCATCTAAGATTTATGTTTATTCTTTTACAAAAAATGCATATAGTAGAAAATTTAGTAAATGTAGGAAAGTATAAAATATAAGAAATTATAATATTTTCTGATCTAACCAGTTAGGGATAATACCCAGTATTGTTAAAATTTTGGTATATTTTACTGTCCATATTCAAAATTAAATATTTAATTATTCTACTAATAGAATATTAAATATTTTCAATATTAACACTTCCTGAGGACTAATACATAACCAGTCTCATGACATTTTCAAATATAATGCCATTTATGCTTAAGGACTTAAAAAGCTAAGTTTATATGCCTCTTAATTAGTATATAATCCAAGAAAGGTTAAGCACAAGTTATTCAAATGATCTTTGCTTAAGTGAGCATGTGAATTGCATTTATTTGTATACAGAAACTCTTCTACATAGAACAAGAAAGTCTGTTTAGGTGTCTAAAATGACAGTGGAGGTGATAATCTTATCTATTGGTGGTAGAGAGAATTGATGTATGTTGGTTCTTATGGATACTTTTGGTTCATATTTAGTTTAGAAATTGAACATCCTGAATTATAATCAATCAAGAATTAGAGAAATGAAAAATCCCAATCTTGTTTTACAAATCAGGTCTTTTTATTGTGGCTAATTTATTACTGGTTTGAAAATTAACTTCCTCTTTCATCCTTTGCCTCTTATCTAGTGATTTCCTAGTACCGGACTACTTAAACCAGGAGCAAGAAGAGACCCTTGTTCAGTATGATCTTGGAGAACACAGTTTTGAAAGCAACTCCTCTGTTCAAATGCCTGTAATTTCGCAGGTCTCCTCGACCCAGAATTGTGAAAGCACTTTCCCCTTGGGGTCTCTTGGTGGGCTGGCAGAAAAAGAGGAAGAAATGCCAGAGCAGCCAAAGACCAGTGTTTGTACTGAGGCAACCAGAGATGACCCCCCAAAATCAGAGCTGTCTTCTATAACCATTGAATAATTTCATGGTTTGGCTTCATTTTTGGTTTTTGGAAAGTGCCTGTGCTTGGTCTTGTACTTTTAAATTAAATTTAATTTTTTAAACATAAAAGAGTTCGGGAAAGAATTTCCCTTTTTACTTTGTAAGCCCCGCAACTGATGTTTTATTTTTCATGACTGAGAGATTGCTTCTGTAAGTGCACAATAACACAATGTTGAAACATAATTGAAACTATGAGACTTAAGGAGAGCCAATAGACTTAAGGTCTCTATCAGTTTCTTCTTCCATTATTAAAAGTAGGCTAATGAGATCATGAGGTAAAGAAGAATTCAGATGATTGTTGACCTTCCTGAGATGAAAGGGTACACCAGAAACAAATTATTGAACATAATTTGACAGGTAGCCTGAGTAGATATTTGCTCTTTATACACAGGATGTTGTACAATATTTTGTAAAGCCTGTTGGTTTTGGAAATATTTACGGTAAGCTTTCTTAAAAATTATTAGGGTAAATGCTTCTGAAATCCAGTGTACTCTTTTTTTTTTCTTTTTTTTAAGCTTTGTCATTTCTATTATTTTTCACAGTAAAAATTTGGTGTTGGGACAGGCAGTCCCTGAACTTTTTTTTAGTACCACTCCAAATAATCTTTCTTCTATGAAGTCGGAGAACCATGATTGAGAGTAGTCAGGCTGTGCATGAAATGACCAGGAGTGGGAAATGAAGTACATAAATCTCAGCTTTATAGGAACTCTTTTAATACTGCTTTTCTGACTAAAATTGTTGTTTACCTGGTCTCTGAATGTTAGTGCCTGGCTAATTAGGTCATTGCCTAAATCATTTTCCTCTTGCCCCATGAACAGTACTTCCTCTTGCATATACTGGCATGATATATAAAGGAAAAATATTGGAGATACTCTATATTTTATATATAGGCTTATGTAATCTTGGGGATGTTTCTTTTGTGCTGATTTGGACAAAATAAAATAATTCTCTGTTAAGGCTACGTTCTTAACCCAATTAAGATTGTTTACAAAATTCCTTATGTCAGTGATACTTTGTTTTTTGTTCCAAAATATTTTTAGACATTGCCAAGTTTATTAAAAGGGTTAGTGTAGATTTTACACAATGTAAGCAATAATGTAAAAGATAAGAAGAGGCTTTAAATTAATGATCTATGACTCATTAATCAAGGAGGGGAAGAATCGTTAAGACTAAAACTAAAAACCTTAAATTAATATCACTTCTTTTGCTGCTAAAAAAATGAAACTTCCTGTTTATAGTTGAAATTTATGTGATATTCTAGACTGGAGTATACTTTTCATCTAGTGCCACTAAACATCACTGACCTTGATCCTAAATATTCATGAGTCCATAGACAATGAACTTCTGAATAACTTTTTTCTATGTATATTCCCAAACTTTAATAATTATAAGAACACCTGATTAAATTAGAAAAAGAAACTAAATACAGTTTCTTATTCAAAACACCAGTTCTGAATTTTGTCCGGGTGCTAGACCTTAATAATAAAATTAATTTTTAAGTTATAGTGATTTTACTTGTTTCATTTTTTTAATTGGCTAATTCTGTGATTGATTTTCCTCCCACAAATGTAAAAGAAGGGAAAGTAAATGCATTGAAGATTTTTTTTTTCAGGTAACACTCTTTTTCTTGATTCTGCTGTCTTTAATTTGTTTTTGACTCCTTATCTCCATCTTGAACATTTTTCCCCCTTTGCTCCCAAATGCAGGTATATTACCTTCAGGAAGAACAACATACACAAATTATGATGAGCTTCCACCATTTATGCTTCTTTACTAGTAGGGTTGAATTACTTTTTTTGCAACAGACTGAGATAATTTCTAACAGTACTGCTGTGTCTCAGCTAGAAAGGTCAGGAATTTTTATTTTTAATGTCCTACATATTCTTGAAAATTGTTACGCCTACCAATGGATAAGCCTTGGAGTTAATTTTAAAATCTTATATTGGCAAAATAAAAACTAGGTAAAATTATGACCAGGAATCATTGTTGCCTTCAGTTCTAAGAGTTTTGTTTTTTTTTTTTAAGGGTGTGAAAAGAAGGAAGGAAGAAAAAACAGAAAGAAATAGGGTTTAAAAAAAAAGAAAGAAAGAAAATCGGGGATTTGTGTGGTTGAAAGTGTTAAAACACATCCCCTATTCTGAGAACTCTACATTAAAAGAGCCCACAATTTTGGCAGCTCAAAAGTGGTCTGTGTTCTCAGAAATGTAGGATTACCACTACTGGCTCTTCTTTCCCAAATGGAAACTTTAGATTTTCATTGGTAATTACAGATTGCACAGCTTTTCAAGTTTAATGAAAAATTTGAATATACTATGAAAATGTGTACTTGGTTTGTTTATTCCCCAAATCTTATCAATACAGGTAGCTAACGAGTATTTAACATAAAGTGATATAAACAAAGACCTTTTTTTTCTTTCATTGAGGCTCTACATTTTTCTTGATAGACAGCTTAAGGATTTTTAGCTTATGGATCTGTTTTAGGAAACTAAGCCACAAGGTATAATTGTATATAGTGTTATTTAGGTTTATTTAAAATTCATCAAAGAGAGGGATACCCAAATATACAAGTTTTACCAGAATATATGGAAAACATTGCAAAGAGATGAAAGCCAGTTACATTATCCCATCCATTAGGAATTGCCAGTGAAACTAAACAAAAAATTCCAGTTTAGAATACTTAAGTGTAGCTATCTTTGTTAAGGCCCAAGAGGGTAACTTTGTGATATTTAAAGGGCTTAAATTTTAGGATGCAGGATAAATTGCCTTTTTAAAAGCGAGTATTTTATACAAGAAAAGCATTTATTTTACATTTTTATGCTACCAAATAGATGAGATACACTTTAGAAATGAGTAAAGATTCTCGCTGTGATACTGGATGTTATAGCTCCTAGTCGTTCTTTCCATTTTTAAGGGTGTGTTCTAACAATGGAGGCGTCTAGCATGACAGTGATTGTAATAATTCAGAAACAAAAGGATTAATACTGGGGGGGTTTATTTGAAGTTTTTATAAATGGATACAGATGGAGATTATCATCCACAAATACACTTAAATGAATTTCTCTTACTTGGAATTTCAAGTAATCATCTTAATTTGTGTTTCACATAATTAGTTGCACATTAAGTTACATTGCCAGTTTTTAAAGTTCTCGATTTCAGTGAGACACAGTGTACTAAAATGTTTAAATAACCTCATTCAGTCTTACATTTTAACCTTTCAGCAACCATTCTGGGTTAAGTAATTTGGTTCCATGATATGACACATGCCCTTTGATTTTAAAAACAAACAGAAAAACGTGTTTGTTAAAATATTTTATCAAATGGAATGGACTAGTCAGCATATCGAATGCAGTATCATTGGTAGCTCTGTTACCTTCCAACTACTGAGCCAGACTCTCCCCATTGTATAAATGATTCCTTGGGAACCTTTGGAAGCTGTATTAACTCTTTCAGTCTTTTATTTGATCTTTTATTTTATTTTTGTATTCAAACTAGATAGAGGCCAATTATCTTGTTTAGCGGCTTTTATTTTGAAGATTCTCAGATCATCTTTAGTCTCTTAGTTTTATAGTCCCTAAAAAAAAAAACATTATAAGGTAATGGCAACTCTGTACTGTACCACATAGAGAAAACCATTGTTACTGCTTGATGAATCGACAGTCCTGAAATTGTAATATCTTAATAGAAAGGAGTTTGAGGTTTGTTGAATTGAAGAGAATTAGAAGCTTTCATGTGGCACTTATCCTGTTTTCACTCATCTATAAAATGTGAAGCTATAACTCTGAAATATACATCCAAGTGAGGGAGAATAGTTTTCTAGATATTAATATTAATGGCAAGGGGAGTGACTGGTAAAGTTTTCATTTGGAAGCAACCCAAAGTTGTTAAAAGGTAATAAATATGATTTTCACTATAAGTTATTGACATAAGATACTTTATTTATAATATATTCAGATTTTAAAGTAACTGGAAGAAGAGTGTATAGAAACTAGATTTTTCTTAAGCAGTGGAACAAAATTGGGGAGAGTTCTATTATAGTAAACACATCTATGAGGAATATTTATAGCTAAGCATACTCCTTTAGCTTTAAGCTAAAATGTCAAAATTTAAACTTATTTTTTATTTTGCATATACCCACTTTTTTAGTGTCATTTTGCTTGACTGAATGTGGTGATGATATAGGCTGTTTTTATGTGGAAAATCCTCAGCAAGCTGAATTTGCCAAAAGCAATAATGGTTAAGCTTAAACAATGAAGTGGAATTGAATGAATTTCCAGGTTCAAATAAGGAACAGACATTTTGTGGATATTTTATTCTTAGATTATAAATGTTGAAATTTATTAATGGGGGAGTTAAGCTTATATCAGATTATGGGATATAGACTCTTAGTGACATCTTAGTTGTACTTTTTTTTTTTTAACCTCATACTAAACTAATACAGTTAGATATATCCACTACATTGTAGTGATTATATTTTTATGATAGAAAAAAGAAGTTCCAGGTCTTTACAAGTAGTCTCTGCAGAGATGTCAGGCAGTGTTATGGACTCTCAGTTTGGCGGTATCCAAAATACGAAACTGCCTTAAAGTGCTCATGCTACTTTAAGCAAACTTCCTCTGTGCAGGCCCCATGCCAGTTACAACCAATACCAAGGTTCCTGTGTACATAATAGTTTACAAAGAATTTAAAAGTTGAGACCATTGACTGAAAACAGAAACTTTTTTTAAAAAATTTTTTTAACTTTGAAAATTTTAATTTCAGTTTGAAGTGCCTGGTTTATAAAATCTAATTCTTTGATTATTGCCTTTCTATTTTAAATTGACTGATTTTGCTAAGTAAGCTTAAAGCCCTGGATTCAGTTGTGATGATTTATTGACAAAATCGCTGCTTGATTGTTTGAGGGGCTAGTGTCATGACTTTTATTACATTATCCTTGTTTTTCCAAATGCTGGCCTAACTATATCCAGATTTCATAATCCAGTTAAACAAGCTAAAAAATCATCCTGTAATTGTATGTTCAGGTTACCAAAGTATATCACCTTCTAAGGAAGGATAAATCTTCCCTACTTTAAGAGGAGCCGGTCAACTCCCTTTAACACATGTTTCCAATGGCATAAGTGGAAGCTGTGTTCATTTAGAGGTGGGAAGCCTTTCATGCAGTTCCTAGAAACATCTGTTTTCTAGAGAGAACCTTTTCTATGATTAGATTATAAATGTGTTTTCTCTAAAAGCTTTGCTTTATTTCAGTTATTAATTTAATTTTCAAGTTGATAGATGCTATGTAAGGTCTCTCATACTGAGAGTAGTACATTAAATTACTGAAAGTTGCACTGCTCTTCATCTTTCAGGTGCCTGAAATGAATGCCACCAGGTATTTGGAAGGAGTAAGATCATAAACTGTATTCATTTTCTTCCTTATACAAAGTGATGGCTTCTAATGCGTATATTTCAAGATAAAAAGAAAAAAAAACAGCCCTTAATAGAGCAAAATTTGGTTTTGATCCAAGTCCCAATAATATATTTGATTTTTCTGTTGTTACTGGTGCCTCCTGTTGCATCAGATAGAGATTGCCTGCCTCTTCATAGGGCACCCTTGTGGCACCTTATGTCCAATTGGAAGATAGTGTATGGCTTCTTTGTGCCTCTACTATCTTTGCAAAAGCCATTTTATAAAAATCCTAGGTAGCCTATTTTAATATTTAAATATATATATTTGTGAGATACTTTTAGAACAGACTTTTTTTTTTTACTTTGAAATTCCTGTATTCTCATTTTTAAGAGTAAATTAAAATTTTCCAGGATTAGGACTTGTCTTTTTCCACAGCAGCATAATGAGAAAGTCAGATTGAAATTGAAATTGACCATACTTCAGTGATAGAAGAAATTGATGTCTGGTTACAGGAGACAGATGCGAAGGAAAAAATTGTTTTGATGTCACAGAAATGAATTTTTAAATAAAATTGTGGTTTTGTTTCTGTAATTTCATATTTGCTGCTACAGTAGCTCAATATTTTACAGAGCTAACATACAAATCTGGCTCCATTTAAAAACTGGAGTACTTTCTAGTACAACCAGCCTGGGAGGAAACTGCGCATCACAGTTTTCCAGATGGGTGACTGACTGCTTTGTTTAGCCGATGCATGCTTAATATTTTCCTATAGGCCAACATCAAGAAGTCTGGGGGAAGCTTTTTTTTACCTTGTAGCATTATGATTCTTTTTGGTCACTGGCATTTTATGAAACCGTTGGGGGAGGGTAATGCTGGGGCAGAAATGTGAATTAAAAGTATATGGATGGGTGTTTTGATGTCTTCTACCCTCTCCTAGAACCAGTGCAACTCCCTTAACTGCCAGTCCCCAGCTCACCAGCTTTGTATCCATTTGTCATCTCATTTAAATATGGCTTTACTTGGTGTCAGTGGCCATAGCTAAGTTACTTGGCATGTTTGACTTTCAACAATAATGAAAATGGTTTTGGATTTTGTTTTATTTCCTAAAAATGTATACAATGTCAGAACTTCACATTTTATATACTAGTATCTGGCTATTAGTATTTTATAGGAACCATAGTTCTTGGTGACTTCATATATATATATATATATACATATATATATATTTTTGTGACTTTTTTGTAAACTAAGTGCCG